TATATATATATATATATATATATATATATATATATATATATATATATATATATATATATATATATATACATAAACTCAGTCCTGAACTTTGAAAAAGACATTAAAGGGATTGAAAAAATGAAATTGTCATTTACTTAACCATTATTTTTAAGAGTGCAGGTTTGGAACAACTGAGAGTCATTACTGGCCTTGATGGTTTCATGACAAATCTGTAACATCAATGAAACCTTACACAAAATTTTATTTTATAGGGAATAAAAGGATCTTCAGGTTGTTAAAATGTTTTTCACTTTTAGGAAAAAAATGGTTCTTTTAAGAACTCTTCTCTAAAAGATTCTTTGGCAAACCCAAAATGTGTCTTCTATGGCATTGCTATGAAAACCCCCCTTTTGAAATCTGTATTTCTTTAAATTTGTATGGCTTTCCTTCTCTAATTTTTATTTTTGGATAAATTATCCCTTTACCTGAAAAGTGAAATGTTTATTTGCTTTTCATTTGGCAGATAATTTCTGATTGTAGTCTCTTTTTTTTCTACTCGGTTGGTCATCTGTAGAGCCCGAGGTCACTATCCACTAGGGCTGTCAAAAAAAAATTAGAATTTCGAATATTCGTCGAATTTAAAATAAAAATCCACATTCGAATGCAAAAACATTGCATTCAAATTTTAGGTGTGCGTCAGGCAGCATTATCAGTGGTGCACGAAATGCGACGACGATGTAAATTCGGGGCGTTGAGGTTTTCACTCACTCCAGAACGCTCCGCTACAGCTCCGTCACGAGCACAAATTATGCCAACTCACGCATTAAACATAATTAGTTAGCTTGATCACATATGAAGGTTAAAATGGTGATGGACGAGTGCGTGAGGTTAAAGCATGTTGTAAATTGTAGTCAACAGTTTGTTAATCTCCACTCCAAACTAATGTGCTGCTACATTGCTGCACACGGACAGAACACACAAGCTCGCACATAACGTACAGATCGCGTGCATTCAGGAATTAAGAACATTTGGTCAACGCTGTCCTGTGATTTATCAGCTTAAAAACGGAAAAGTTACAGCATATTCTTTCTGTTTCTGAAGTAACTACCCTCAGCTTCACCATAGTAGAGAGACGTTGCACAGACAAATAAGCTAAGCGAGTTAAGCAGTCATTTAATATGGACTTGGGCTAATTGTAGAGTTCCAATAAACCATGTTAAAACTATTCTAGTATTATGCATTTATTTTTTTCGTTTAATATCATTTAATATATATTTATAATAACAATACTTAGATTTTTCAAGCGTAAGGAAATAATTTAGCCGTGGAGCGGTGTTTCTGATCAGTGGAGCAAGGAGTGGAGCGGGAGCAGGAAATGGTGAACCCGGAGCGGAGTGATTATTGAATGCTTGGAGCGCGGAAGGGAAATTGTTGCCGCTCCACTCCGCTCAAATACTCTGCACAGAATGCATATTTATCGCATTTTCTATCTAGAGGGACATCTATCACCGTTGCACTCGCGTCTCGCACAAGAGAGCCGCATGTTTATAAAGCCATATAAAATTAATGTAAGTTCAACTTTTTAAAAAACATGTCTCAAGACTTTATGGTGGTTTTCCCCATCCCACTGCATCTCAAGTTTTTAAATGAAGAAAGTACTCTTTGTGATTGGTTTTCAGTCCTTTGTATTAAACTATACATACATGCATGATTCTGTTTTGTTTCTAATTGTTTAAGCAACTTTATTAATTATATAAGGTTTATAAACATTATTTTAAACATTATGCACTTTTTTCAAATATAGTCCTGTTATTTTATTATGCTTTGAAGAAATGTGCATAATATTTTGCTCGATGCGCCCTCTCATGGCCTCAGGAGAGAAGCCAAAAAGCTGCCCCCCCCCCCAACTGAAATTATGCCTTTTAAATTCGAATGTAATTCGAATATTGATAATATTTAAAGCAAGGCAAGGCAAGTTTATTTATATAGCACATTTCATACACAATGGTAATTCAAAGTGCTTTACATAAAATAAAATAATAATAAAAAATAATCACAACAATAAAACAAGGAATTTAAAAACTTTAAAAATTGATTTAAGAGGTTTAAAATGAATTTAAAACAGTTGAGAATAGAAAATTATTATACATGAAATATAGTGCAATCAGTTCGGACTTTGCACAGTGCTCATTCAATAAATGCACAGCTAAACAGATGAGTTTTGAGTCTGCATTTAAATGTGACTAATGTTTTAGCACATTTGATCTCTTCTGGAAGCTGATTCCAACTGCGGGCGGCATAATAACTAAAAGCAGACTCCCCTTGTTTTGTGTGAACCCTTGGTATTTCTAACTGACTCGATCCTAATGATCTGAGTGGTCTGTTAGGTTTATATTCAGTGAGCATATCTGCTATATATTTAGGTCCTAGGCCATTGAGTGATTTATAAACGAGTAAAAGTACTTTAAAATCAATCCTAAATATAACTGGAAGCCAGTGTAAGGACCTGAGGACTGGTGTAATATGCTCAGATTTTCTGGTTCTAGTCAGAATCCTGGCAGCAG